GATAGGATAAAACCCACACATCCACCTCGCAAACAATGCTGTCATGTAGTTAACACAGCAGAAATATTTGTTTAATTAGTTACATTTTCAGCTTTTAAATGAGAAGAAAAAACAAGCCATGGGTGGTCTGTAACCTCAGAAGAGCAAATATCCCGGCTGTAAAATCATCCCAACTCAGAATACTGGGTTGGACATAAAAAAAGCATTTATTGAATCCTAGGCCTGAGTCAGGAACAGAAGGTGCATTAAGAGCTTCCAAACTGCAGCCTACTGCCAATTCATTAAGTGTTCGGCATTATTTAATAAAAATGGCTTACGCATATACTTTAACTGAAATGCTATTTATTCATAAACATTTTTAACTAGAGTATCTGTTGGGAGTTATTCACACACCAATTCAGAGCCAGTTTCAAATTCTTCCTTCAAGTAAATGCATGCAATTCCCATTGCTGTCTGCCTCACCTAGGCTATACGTCTGCAAGCAGAGCTTGTCCTGTATTTTGCAATTAAACCAAGGTTCTCAATTAGTTTATAGAGACCAGGACATGTTGCTGTTAATGTCTTGGTAATGCATAAACATTACAGAAGTGAGAAAATGGCTATAATTTGTGTAATAGCATTAAAGTGATTCTACTGTCCTTATGCCTGAACCCCAAACTTGAACAGATATTTGAAAAGATTCCTCTTTTTTTGGCTATTTTGTCAGAGAAGTCAGATGCCAGGTAGGCACAAAATAAAATGGTCAGGCTCTCTACAGAACTACAGGATGTTTCTTGAAAAAATATCACGACACTATTGAATGCTGAAACGAGGGCTGAGCAGATCTGATGCTTCAGCCCACAGTTCTTCGGGTTACATTAACATGACAGTAACTGCTTTCAGACTCTGAAAGTGGTGACCAAGCAAACTAATAATATTTGCTAACAGGCTGCGCTGACCCTCAGGCAGCTGTTGCAATGGGATGTTGCAATGGGACATTGCAGGCAGGGAACATCATAATTTTTAGCCCCATCCTGTGCAATTACTACCTACCCAAATACTTCTAAGATGCTTTCTCAGAACCTCTCTGCCACTCTCATTTTCGATGCTGTTTAGTTAAAAGGTGCTTAAGGAAGCTTCTTCCTTCACAAGAGAGATTCCTGGAGGTGTCAGAGAAATTGCCTTTTCCACACTTTCCTGCTCACTCACAAAGCGCAGGCTCTTCTACCTTCCCCCTTGCCACAGCATAGCACCCATGCAGAAACAACAGCAATTTCTGACCTCGGAAAGATGTACCCACAACACGTTTTTCTCTTTTCTGTGTGATTTCACAGCTGGAGATGAAGATGGCCAACAATGCTCTTTGACCTGTTACTCCTCCAAGGGCTGTATGTGTTCTCCAGTCCGGCAATTGGACAGCTGCTGCTTTAGGACTTTGCCCTTTCTGTCTCCCTTATCTTTCCTTCTGTCATCTGCTTATTTTCCATTTTTATGATATTCTTTTTTGGTAGATAATAATGCCTTTAGGAATAGTGCTGGCAAGAAGCCAGGACAAAATGGCAGTGCTAACAACTTTTGTTTGAGTTAGGGTCACTGCAAGATAATTTAGACCACAGACCCGGGGCCCCATTTTCCCATGACACTGGAAAAATCCACACAGAGAAGCAGAAAACACTGAATGCTTCAAATCCAAACCTCCCTGAGTTCATCCTCTTGGGACATGGCTTGCAGAAAAGGATGAGGATATTTCAACACCCGTGGATAGGACTTGAGAGGGACTGGACCAGCAACTATCTTTCCCCAGAGTTTTTGTTTTTAGGAGCAAAATCCAGCAGAGAAAATCCATCTCTGTCGCTTCCCACCCATGCAGCTGAAGGACCTCTCCCTCCCAAGCTTCCCTTGGAGGACACAGCCTTGCTCAGCACACGCCCAGGCCAATATTGCCACTTTCTTCCCATACTGCCAAAAGAAGCACCGTTAATGAGGTGCCCACAACCCACATATCTCTCAGGGACGAAGGAACTGGCCCTCGGTTTGGCTTTTTATTTTTCCCCATTAGTTTTTAAAATGGATATTTTTCTTAAGCCTGAAGGCAGCCCCAAAATGTTTCTCCTCTGAACACGGTAGCAGAACAATCAGTTAAGGGAATATGAAGCGTCTCCTTCCCGCTGTCCAAAGTGGGGAAATGTAAAATTCATCATAAATGATGAAAAGCAAACCAGATAGTCAAAATTCACACACTGTTAACGAAGTAACACAGCTAATGTTTCTTGCTATGCTCAACCCAAGGCTACCCCTCTTACAGAAGTTTTATTTTCCCACTGGGTTAGGAGGCTGTGAGAAAGCAGGTAGGGGAGGCTCTGCTCAGATCTATATAAGATAAGCATCTATGTAATACCAGGACACTCTGCATTTGAAACCAAACCTCCTTCCCCCATAGCCAAGATCTGTAGCTCCTCCCCAGGGGGCCCCAGATCCCTATGGCCTCCACCACGAGCTTGCCGCGAGTTCAAGGATTGACATTTCAGATGGCAGGAAGCTGTGGTAGGTGTAGATACATCACAAGTCCTCCCTCTGCCCCAACAAGAAGAGATTGGGAAGGATGCAGAAAGCCAGGTGGCAAAGGAAGAGCAGGAAGAGGAGTAGGAGACGTAGCAGAAGCAGCAGGAGGGGCTCCATGCCACCGCCCGGCCCTACCTAGCAAAGGCTGACGTTTTTGGGTGAGGGAGCGCTTGGAGCAAGATGAAAAGCTCTGGATCACAGGTGGGAATGGGATATAGGGAGAGGCAGCCCTCAGAGCCAGGCAGAAGAAGGTCAAGGACGAGGCGGTAGGGAGCCAGGCACCTGTGCAGCTGCCCTGGGACTGCCAGGAGCACTGCCAGCATGGACGTCTGATTGCACAAACAACCATGGAGTGAGGAAAGAGAAAAGAGGAATTCTGGCAGTGGGTACGCAGCTGTGCAAGAAGTCTCCCCAACAAACACATTAGCCTGTAAAATCCACCCCCTGCCGGCACAGGGGAATTTTCTATCTCATGGATCCAATTCTGCTTGACCATAACAGGGCTTGCATCTATCCAGCCTCTATCAACACTGAATTTGCACAGGGTTTGCAGTGGGTCCCCACCCTAAAGAATGGCAAAGCATCCCCTTGCCCGCCTCCAAACCGCGCACAGACAGCATCCTGAGCTCTCGGCAGTTTAACACTTTTCTCATCTGGGGAAATGTCACGCTGCCGACACTAGAAAAGCCACAAAACTGGGGATGACTGGATCTTTAGTACTCAAAATCACATTTCTCACCAAACATTTTGCTAAGTGACATCTGCAAAAGGGCACACAGAGGGAAAAGGGAGGAACAGCACAAATTACAGTCCCATGCCTTGTTCAAAACTCATTTAGCAGGTTCTTCAGAGAGCAGCACCTTGAACTCGGCAGTTGGGGTTTCTCTACTAACCCGAGGCAAAGAACACCAACAAAAGACTATTTCTGCCTGCCTAGACTTTGAAAGTTTCATGGGAAAAATACAAGCAACCGATATGATTCAACATTACCTTTTAAATAAAATACTTAAATAAAATATATGCAACTTCTAAGAAGCACAGGTTTTCTGAAGACAGCTGAGGTTATGCAATAAACAGCAGGAAAGGTCATTTATTAACACAACCTTCAAGTTCATCTGCTTGTGCTTTGAACTAAGACGATGCCTCCACGTGGGGGACACACAATGCTTAAAGCAAAGAGTTGAGGTAGGTGCCTAAGTGGGAGCTGGCAAATGAGGGGTTTGAGTTGCTTTCTTGAGTTTTGGGCGTAAACTCTGACAAACCTTCCTTCAGGAGTTAAAGCAGGTGCTCTGGATGCACCAGTTCTTTTCCTTTCACCCAAGATAACAGCTTTCAAGCAAATTTATCCTTGCTGCAGCATCTTAATTTCATAGAGTGCACTTCACAGCAACATTTGAGTTTGCTTGAAAAACAACATAATATACTGCCTTAGTCTAGGAAGCCAAAATTTATTCTGTCTCTATGGGTTCATTATTCCTCTATTTGTAGGCATGTATGATAGCGAGAGAAGTTTTGTCTCATGCTTTTAAATGCAAGAGATTTACGTTTTTCTTGATAGTCACTTTTCCTATGGAATTCTTTGTATTACAGCTCTTGTTTCCTACAGCTAAAGACTGACCAAACTCTCTTCAAGCCTCTTCTCTTCTAAGCATATTTGAAAAGTTTACTCCCCGTCACGGGGAACGCTGACTGTCTGGGAAGTACTTCTATCAGCACGCAGAAATCCCTATAGGTATGTGCTATACATTCTTGCTTTCACAGAACACTTTTCTATGAAAATCCCTGATGAACTTTGCGGTAGCTCAAAAGCAATTTTCAGAGACATCTTCCTCCTACATTTTGAGAGACTGAAAAAATACATACTTTCCCACATCCATCTCTGGGGGACAGTGGCAGTCCCCCAGGTTTAAAACAACTCGCAAGGACTACAGTGATATTTTAGACTGTTTAAAACAAACAACAGCAACAACCTAAATACGCTTAGTTGGGGAATAATTCCACTTTTCTCATTTTCATCAAGAAAAACTTCATCAGATGCAATACAGACAGGGTAACTTTCTGAGATCTGATTCTACCAAAAAAAAGTATTGGGAGAGAACAAAGACAAAGAATGTAATTCTTTGCCTGTAAAAAAAAAAAAGTGATTGGTGGAGGAGGGAGAGAGACCTGGCAATCTGCTTTTCCCCAACCTTCCTGCCAATGAACAAGGGGACAAGCACAGGACAACTGGTCATGGACGGTGGTGCACAAACCTAGTGCACCTCAACCAAGTCTATTCTTGCTGCTATTTGCATTATCCACAAAAAAAAAAAAAAAAAAAAAATTACATAGGCAACAGCGGCCTTTTACAACTGAACCAAGGTGATTCTGTCCTGAGAAGGGCTCACTGGTACTTTTGCTTTAATTAGGAGCATGTTTCTGAAGATGCTAAGACCTGAAGCCTGTCATCAAGTACTTACATAGTCATCCTCGTGCAGACCTTGCTTCTGAACAGAACTTTTCACCTCCAGAGAAAACTTTTCAAACTCAGGCTTCACGGTCCTCAGCAGAGTGACGGTTTGGAGGTACGAGTATGCCTTCTTGGCTTCAAGGTCATGTTTGTCTCCTCTTCTCCAAGAGCCATTTCCTAAAGGGAAAACAAGCATATTTCCAACTCCAGATTAGGTACCATTACAGGATTGCCTTCCTTTTTCCACCCAGAAGTCCCCTCTCCTGCACCTTGGGGAGATGGCAGAGTACAAGTGAGAACTGAACCTGCTCCAAGATGTGCAGGAAACCGGGCAGGGAGGAACGGCTGGTGGGAAGTAAATGTGCAAACAGAAAGACAACTTTACTCCCATGCTGTGCTTGCTTATTTTTAAAGGGTGGGATGAAGCCTAAGCATGAGAAGACATCTCGGAGCAAAAAACATGTGCCAAATCTCGAACGCAGAGATATTAAAGTTAGAATTAGTGAGGGAGTATCCGACCACAAAGTTTTTGTTACACATCACCCCACCAGCGACACTCTTGGGACAGTCAGAAAGGCACCAGTAAAGTCAACAGTACGATCATCACCCCAAATGGGAGGCAGATGGTGCCTTCCACAATTCTCCCACAGCTCTCCCACTGCAGTCAAGGAGAAAACCATGTGTGCAGTGGCTGCCAGACCAGCCCTGCTCTTAGTGGAAAAGAAACACTGAGAAATAAAATGGGATCCTGCACTTATGTTGTATTTACAGGTGTTTTGTGTCACAGCAGGGGAACAATTTAACCCAGACCACCGGTAAAGTAATCAGATTTTTAAAAAGCAGGATAGCTGACTGGTTGTTAATTAGCAGAGAAGTCCTCCTGCCTAACAGGGCCTGACCTTAGCGCATCCTGAGACCCCGATCCAAAGCTTCACAAGATCAGTGGAAAGGTGCACATTGCCCTGGACCAGGTTTTGTGCTATTCTACATAAATGATAAATAAAAGAGGCCTAGAGGGAACAGTGGTAGCCCTAAGCAGTGCGTCTTTAAATGCTTACAAATAATTAAAAGCTAGACAGCCATTTTATTTTTCGAGCAACAGCAACAAATCCCATCACGGCTAAATGAGCCAAGATGAAGACTAACACTAAGCTCCCAAGGGCGACCTGGAGGCACGTGAGACCCTGAGATGAGAGAGGATGTGGCTGCTCTGCTTGGTTCAAGGACCATGGTGCCATTTGGACCAAGAGAAGCAAGTGGTTTGGGAGTGGAGATGCTAACGGAGATGGAGTCCAGGCACCAAACCCATGGTGCTCCTTGCACAGCACTACCAGCTGCATCACATGCCTGCAAGAGCAAATTCATGGACAGACCACTCCAGTCCCCCCAAAGCACGCGAATACAGAGCCTGCGTTTTGTCCCCTCAGTATCCTGGCATTGCTGCTGGGACTTTTTTTTTTTTTCTTCTTTTTTTGGACAATAAATGTAACTGGAGAATTGCTCTCTTTCCTCAGAGAGCATAGGGGAAGGAACAAAGGACCTGCACTTCTCCGGAGGACAAGTCTTTCCTCGTGCTGCTTTTGGCAGCTCCCGTCATTCCCAGCACAGGGCAGGAGGCACAGGACCACCTTTTACCTCTCTTTTCCACCTCAGGAAAGTCTTATTTATCACAGCTCAGCACCAGCTAGGACTGCAATCTTTATAAACATCATGAACCTTGCTAATTCTTAATTTTTTTTTTCCTTTTTTTCTTTTGGCAGTTATTTCATTCTGTTATGAACAAGCTCTAGGTATGTCTGCCTTGGTTTAGGGATTTCTTTCCCAATACAAAGTTTAACCAGTCAAAATTACTTATGCCAGGACCCTATTCATAAGACCTGATGGAAACACTGGAGAGCAGCTAACATCCCACCGTCTGATTTTGCCCTCAGAGGTAGCACTCTCCCCTTCAATGCCTGTACCCTGTCCTTGTTGCTGCTTTCAAAAAGAAAAAAATGCACATCTGGCAATTATAAGCTAGCATGTCTTGCTCGCTTCTCCACAAGAGGGTACAAGCCCTGCTGGAGTCCTGAAGCTGAAAAGCCTCTGCCGCAGCTGGGTACCTGCATTTCAGAGATGAAGTATACAAGAAGTACAGCAGAGACTACAGCACAGAGGGCATTGCTATAGCTTTGCAAATGTAGATGGCTAAAAAGAGTAAGATTATATTAAAAAAAAACAACTGGTAGTGCTGGTAGAATGCAAATAAGTTTCTGTCCTGGACACTATACATATTTATTTTTAAAAATCCTGACACTGGGAGCAGGGAAGGTACACTTGCATAACAGCGTTCCTAGAATAATTTACATATTTAAATTCCTTCATGGATTATTTTGTGGGAGGTCATCTTGCCACAGTACTTATGTGCAATTATTGCAGCCTTGGCATTTAATACGCCTGCTCTTCTGAAAAATTAAAAATATTCAGAACAGAGGGCAACAACAAACTGCAATATGGTCATCTGAACTTAAAGGCAAAGTGCCAATTTGCCAAGCACACCCACTCTTAGAATTTGTACCTTTTATAAGGTACAAAATCTAGTATCTCCAGGCACTGGGAACAAGGAATTTGGGGGCAATGTCTCTACATTTCTCTTTTATGCTTGCTTTCCACATGTGATGACCATCTGCACAAAAGTCAACTTCTGATGCACAGTCATTTCACTCTTCATGGGAAACACATCCACAAAGAAACAGAAAAATTGGTTTACAAGAGTTATTACTTAGAAATGTCAGGAAATGCCACATTCTAACCACACTACATCAGAAGACAGACAGTTTTCATTAATCCCCTGGAAAAGCTACAAGAAGACTTGACTACCTGTGATGCAAAGGAGGATGGTGCTGAGACTCCCACAAGACCGCGGGGCAAGCGGGTATTGCCCCCATCACTGTGCCACATGGAAGTCCCACGCCAGGATGGCACAGCACTGCCCTGTACATGGCTGAACAGAGTGCCATCTACTGGGGACTGCATCACTGGGGACATCCACCCCACATCAGCTGCGATGCCAGGGTCCTTCCTGGGGCAGGGTCCTGAGCCTGGGGATTGCAACACAGCCTCCTGCAGCCACCGCTGTCTCCTAGCAAATACCATCCTGGAAAGCAAAACCATTACAAAATGCAGCCGCCCACCTCCTGCAGCCGCTGCTCTTACACGAGCATCCCCTGCTCAAGGAGAACTTTGGGTGTCGTCTGTACGAGCCAGCTTCAGCACTTTCCAGGTAGTCACCCTGTGCTCATTTCAGCCAAGCCAAGGAAACCATCAGTTGTAGGGGATCATTCATCTGAGCCGTTTCAGACATATAAGGATGAGGTGAATCACTGTCCAGGGGTGCCTACTTCTCTCCTGTGACTCCAAAGGGAGCCCAGCTCGCATGCAGACCTGTACCCACAGCCAGATGAATCACTTGTGACTCATTTCTACTCTGTGAGATGAAACGCAGCAGTAGTGCAGGGGTAACAAGCCACCGCCAGCAGCCAGAGGGGTTATTTGATCAGTGGTTTCTATTAAATCCAACCCTGTGAAGCTCCCATGGTCTACAGAAGGGCTGAAACTTCAGCGTTTCATGATTGCTGACATGGGTAGACCTTCGGCTTTTTACCCTGGTCCTGATTAAGGCTGCAATGCCAAATGGTTTTGCCACAAGGGATGAAGTCACTCCAAATTTAACTCAACAAAAAGAAAACCTTGATTCAAACCATTGCCTTTGATCTTGTTCTGCAACTTTATCTTTTAGTTATTTAAGTGATTTCCTTATTACCTGGCAGAACTTGGCACTTCTTCAGCTAACCTTGAAGATACATGTAGCAGTATCTGTACTCCTGTACATACCTACATCTCCAAATTCAAACGGCTACATATGTTCATTATAGAGCTTTTCAACAAATAGCACTGCTTGTTGTAAAAATAATCTCAGAGATAGTAGATGGATAACAAAAAGTTTATGCAGAAGAATTTAAGTTACAATTAACTGATTTATTAAACAAAATACATCATCCTTTTGTGAATTCAGTTGTTCCTGTTCATCAGCTTTTTGAGGCTTGAAAGAAAAAAAAACAAGTCTTCCTTCTTTCTTAACTCCCACTTGATTTTCAGTTTGAAATGAATTTGTTATTGTAGTGGATTAGTTAAGGCAGCCCGCAGGGGGGAAATTATTTTCTCTGCACCTGCAGAAGAGGCTGCTCCTTTCAAAAGCCACGTTGACACTTCAACAAAACCTAGTTCCCAGGCAGGAACTTGCCTCAGCTTCAGCCATCTGACATTGTTTAAAACTCAGCAAACATGTTGCTCCAGTATTACCTTAAATTTAACTGAGATAGCTGTAGCAGCTGAGAGCAGGTTTAGTCCCTGCTATGCACTGCCATATTATCAAATGTAATTGAATGTAGGCGTATTACAAAAAGCAAATGTATTTAATTTACATTTTAAAGTCCTGTTTTGACAAATCTGATCCTTTTTACTAGGGGTGGAATCAGCCACTTCTATCCACCCTATTCTAATACGTTTTGAACTGTCCATGTCCCACCCAGTGCTTTCCCTTCAACACAACACTGCTGAATGTTTTTGCAGATGCAGATTCTGACCAAAAGCTGAAACAAATTAGACATGTGGATCCCCCAGCACAGACCTGACTTCTGGAGACATAGGCCCTGCAGCTGCCCATGGCCCTGGCCATTGCTAGTGTCTTCTCCCAGCCATCTGCACAGACCGCAGGCCACTGGGCAGCCAGGAATACGCCTGCCTTGAGATTTGGCAGTCACAAGGCTGGGGATGGTGCACGCCACCTAGAGCTGAACACATACACTGCACCATGGGGTACCCACACCTGGCTGCTATAACCAATGTCTCTGTCTGGTGCTGCTTCCCCTACAGGTAACTAAATAAGTAATGCTTATAGTGTATTTGGCATCTTGTGATCCACTCAGTGGCAACTATAGCCACAAGGTCCTTTCCTACAATACCATAGCCCAAGTGGAAGGTAACTGCAATGACGGGGAGAAACAGTAGTGTATTCTGGGACTCCATGCAGCATATTTTGAGGCTAACAAATCTAAAAATATTACCAGGCTTACAGAAGACTTTGCAACATACTTGGGCAGGAAAAACATTACCATATGATGAGCTGTTGAAGAGTTCAATATTGAAGAAAGCGTAGTCCCCGTTGGTCATTCCTTGCCGATAAGCAGCCAGCATGATGTTCCTGATTGTGTCACTGCTGGCACACATGATTACAACTGGTGGAAGAAAATGAAAAACACAGATAAGAAGCAGTTCAAGAACTTCAGGGAACAGCCTGTTAAGCATGAATGCTGCCAGAGACAGTGACCCCAGCTGTCCTCCCAGTGTTGCAACAAACATGACAACGCAGACGGCAACAAAGCTGATTTCCCAAACAGCTGACAGAAGACAGGTACCAAACACAGAGAGCCTTCCTCCTCCTTTGTCTCCTCTGAAAATAATTAAAGAGAGCCTGTGTGTGATCTTAAGTTTTTTTACCCCTGCAATGTGTGGTAAGTTCTGGCTTGAAATTTCTTCAACTGCATATATTCACATAGAGTCAACTGCAACCATAAGTGGACATAAGACAATCTGAAGATGAAGAATTAAGGTAATACAATGACATTACCATTTTAATTGCCATTCCATTGAACAGTTTGGTGTAGATTCATCTTGCCTACACCTCAGCTGTCTAAAATTTAGGTATCTGGTCTAGAATTTGTTGCCTCTTTACAGTTAACAGAGAGCAGCATCTCTGCAGCTGTCTAAGGACAGTGGTATGAATCTTTCCAGGACATGACTTTCTCTCCAGAGACTATACAATAAGCCTATGCAACGACCTTTGATGGGATGCTTAATGTTCAGAAATGGGAAAAGCAAGTGCCACTTTCTGAGCATGAAGATTAAAGGTGGTTACAAGATTAAATGCCACAGAGCCTCATTTATCACAGACCAAGAGCTAAGCAGGGGCTTTGCTGCTACAGCAGGACCTACAAGCCCGCAGGTGTGCTCTGTGCGGGCACCATGATCCACACTGCAACAACTGTGGTTGAGAGGTCTCTTCCCCAATCTGGTGGGCAGGGGGAACTACTCCCCTTGCTACCCCTTCCCTCTGCAAAGGAAATTTCCTCTGGAAATTTCAAGGAAGGAAAAAATCAAGGAAGTTTCCTCTGCAGGAACTCAGGCACGGTCTTCAGCAATGGGGAGATACCTCAACACTGAGCACATTACACCACAAACTTTTATATAGGTTCACAAGGCTATGGGTATGAAGCTACTGACTTCAGAGGGAGCAGCAAAGTATTGTACCAGTGTGTGCTTCGGGGCTATATTCTACAGCAAAGTCGTAAGAGATCCAAAACCAACTGTACGCACATTTCCAAGAACACTGTCACGCATGGCAGGGCTCAAAAGCTACAATAATGTACGCAAATATTTTCACCCCAACAATAAAAGTGAATCAAAACCACATTCAGCTTTTCTGGGTAGAAGTGTTTGCTATTATAAGAAATGAAAAGGCCAAACAGGCCAAATCTTTTCGCACACAATGAATCTTCTCCCATTGCTTTTCTGGTTGGATGCCATCACAGGCATAAAGCTCCAGATGCACCGCCGGGGTGAGTCACGTTCGGTACATCCCCATGCTTCAGGAGAGTTATACCATGCATAGCTCTGTCCTCCTGATTATAGCAGAGTAATATAATAATTTCCAGAGCAACAGAGCAAGACATATTTCATGACCATTGTGAAGTATATTAGCATGAAGGAAAAGAAGAAGAAGAAAAAAATTTTCTTACAGTAAAATTTGGATCAAATCTTTTCCAGACGCACATCAGGAACGAATTTGTCTCACTGTTTCTAATTTCAGCATAGGTGAGAGATTTCCTTTTGAAACATTTACTTGCTGCCCTCCCAATTCTCCCTTGACTTCGCCTTTATAATTCACATCTATCGTAATCTGTAGATGGAATCAAAGAGATTCCCACGACACCAGTAAAAGATCTTGAGCAAAAGGAATAAAAAAAAGAGTGGGGGAAAATCCCCTACTTTAAAATACATTAAGTTATATTTTGTAAGCCTCTACAGGAATGTAAGGGAAGTAATATTAACTATTTGGATGTGGTTGTTAACCCAGCAGGAGAGCAAAGATTACATATTTCAAGATTTTGAAGCAAATAAGCTACGGGCATGTCTCTCACAATCTTCCAAAAATGTAAATGATGTGTATTTAATCTGCATCTGTACCTTACTATTGTGTATGTACAAATTTGTACGTGCAAACACATACAAATGTTCTCCCTCCAGTATAATACACGCAGACCACAGTAATTCTAATACTAATATTCTGAATTTATTGACTAGGATTATTGACTCATCTTGCAAATACTCAGGAGTTCAATTCCAGTTAAAGGAGTAAGCGTTCCCTTTGCTCCGTGCATCCCTTGGACTACGTGCTTATGGAGAACGTATTTAAGCACAGTCCTGGGTTTGTGACCGTTATGGTAAACCTGAGCCTACAGCATCAAGTCTGCAGCATGGCCAACCGAGCCTAGAAGGGAGCTTGAACTGCTAACGAAATTCATTAAAGACAAGTGGTTAACTTTTATGATCATATTTTTCATCATGATTTTGTTGCAGCTCCAGGACTTGAGTCTTTTGAAGTGGCTCCAGGGACTGAACAGGCAGCCGCTGGCAAACATGGGTGGGTGCCTAAGTGTGCCCCTGCCTCCTGGACCCCCAAGAGCTCAGTGCAAACCCCCAGCCAGCAGCAACCTAAGCCACGGGGCCAGCCTCTTCCCTGGGTCCTCACAGGCCAGCTGATGGGGCAGCTTCTTTCTCAGCCCTGGGAGAGTTTTGAGCATGTATCCTGATCTGCTTAAAAGCCCACTCTGACTCAGAGCAGCTCAAGGAAGCCTGACCACTCAGGTGGGACCACCACCAGCAGCAATCTCCGGAAACAGAGAGGGTGCAGGGTCCGAGCATGGGATAGTGTCACGGTAGGTGTGATATAGGAACCCTTAAGAACGGGTGAGAAACCCAATCAACCAAACAAAAAGGAAGTACTAGTTTCTAGGAAGTGCTTTGGACAGTGCCACATTGCCCACCAGCCCCGCTGCTCCGTTGCAGATCTCCAAGGAGTCCCCAGGAGAAATGAAGACCTCATCTGGTCAGCTAAGGCACACGGTGCATCTTTCACATGATATGAGACTTAAAATATTGTGACAATCTGAAAGGTGCCGTGAGCAGCAGGACGACCCCTCAGGCCCAGGGAAATGTGTGAGGCAAGTCCTGCGGTCGGTCTTTAAAGTCAGAAAGGCACAAGCGGAGGTGGAAGGGCCTGACTTGCTGCATTTCGCAGTAGCAGCATGAGTCCAAGGACAAATGAAGAGGTGAGACGGAGGAAGGGGACCCCAGCAGGCACAGGGGGCGAAAGAAGTAAGACAGAGGGCTGCTTTTGTGCAGTCATTTGCAAGTTACAGAATGATGTAAGACCAAAGGTCTCAGCTCAGCAAAGCATTTAAGTCCGAGCTGAAAGCAAGCCTCTCTTCCCTGACTGTCAGCAGTCTGAAGAGTGGGGTTTGCCTTTAGCCATCAGTCACGTTCCCACAGCATGGCCACAGTTCCCTTTGGCTAAGGGTGAACACTCACTTTTTCCTGCCGCAAGCATGCTGTTATGCTCTTAGCATCAGGAAAGTCAAACACATACAAAAAAGTTAGGCTGATAAAAAAGAAAAGCATCTTTCCCCACGTAGCGGTTTCCGCTAGCACACATTTCTTTCTCTCCGTTCAGTATACTTCCCCGAATGGTACTTACTAGGAAAGCTCTATTTTAAGCACCTGCTTCGGTGAAGAGAGAATTAAAGAGCCGTATGCTGTTAGACCTCAGTTATCTCACACATGCTCCTGCACACGTTAAGGATTTCACAGCAGCGTAACGACATCAGCAGTGCAAGGCTGCTCCGTCTGCAGCCTACAGCACCGTAACACCAGTGTGCCAGTCACACATGGCATGATCTTTATCGCTCCAATTTTGATGCTATTTTAACATTCTACAACCAAGGATGTAAAAATTGCACAAAGCACTTTGTACATCTACGCCTCTTTTGGAAAACAGCTAAGGACTTTCTTTAACTTGATCCTGCGGTCCACCCCTGGAATACACCTTTTTTTTTTTTTTTTGCAATAACTTACTGGGGAAGCCTATGGCTGGTAAAAGCCTCTAACAGAAAATGCCTTTTTGATAATCCCACGTGTCCACGCATCGCTTGGCGAGATGTCACTGTAAAACACATATAACTACAAATTTGCAAGTCCCAAAACACTTTCAGCGTTTTACTACTTCATGATGCGAAGCCAGTTCATCCAGCCCAGGGTGACTTTCCAAGATGTTTTACAAGCCATTTATCTCCACGGTGTTTTGCTAACAGTTGGTGGCAATATTACTGCACACACTCATGGGTTTCACATCCACACATCCCCCGAAACGACCGCTTCCCCTAAATGCATTTGTTATTTATGAAGTACTCAACGGGGCTTCCAATGGCAGGCACGGGTAAAAGGATCCCTGTGGCAAGACACAGCAGGGTGAGAAGAAAACATCTTTGCTTAGACTTTGAACTTACAGAGAGTCACTTCAAAAATCTCGGAGAATAATCAACAGATTTGCTGCTCCGCAGATGCGGGCGATTTTGGGTAACCCAGACTGCTGGCAGAAAGCCGACTTCTTACTATGCCACAAACCCCTCCTAGCGCGGTTCCCGAGGGTGAGCCTCCCTCCCCGTCGTGGGAGGCAAAGCTCTAATCAACTTCTGTGGGCACAGCTTTCGCTCGCGGCAGCTGGTCCCCATCCGTTGGGGGATGCCCGGCCCAGGGATGCCGGCACAGCACTGCACTGAGTTTCCCCACGGGCAGGGACGTGATGTGACTCCCCCCTCCCGCAGGACCTTCCCTCCCCGGTGCTCCCGCTGCCCCAGCGCCCCGTCCCTGACCCCAGCCGCCACCGAACGCCGTCGAGGAGCAAAGCCGGGCGCCCCACCGCCACTCACCCCTCTCGCCGGTCTGGAGGGCGCGGACGACGTCGTCGAGGTCGAGGTGGCGGCTGCTCTCGTCGAAGCTGTGCACGGCCATGTGGAAGGCCTCCTCCTGGAAGACCACATGGACGCCCTCCATGGCGAAGTAGCAGCTGCGCTCGGGGTTGCTGTCGCTGTAGAGCAGCGTGGCCCGGCTCCACTGGTGGGGGCGGAAGAGGGCCAGCAGCATCTCGCCCATCTTGGCGTAGGCGGGGGCGACGCGGGTGAGGTGCGAGTACTCGCCGCCCTTGGCGCCGAAGCCGGCGGCCAGCGCCCCCGCCGACCGCC